CAGGAAGACAGTTTTTGAAGGTTTAAACTAACTGCATCTTATTACCGATGGGACTTATAGTACAGGTTTTACGGTACTAGGAAAGAAGGAATCAAAAAGTAAAAAATGCCTAAACAATACACAACAAAGCCCTCACAATAGAAAGCAGAAGCTGGTTGCATTTCCTGTAAATCCAGGCCTGTGGGGAAACACTGAGCGTAGGCTGAGCTCAGAGGTGGCAGCAGAAGCATCAATAGTGAGTCTTCTTTACTGGCACGCTGGCAAGAAAAGCCAGAGCTGGAGAATCACTGGATGACTTCCAAACAATGGATAAGCATCATGCAATCTGAGTTAAATCAGCCATTAGCAACTGCATCACACGGTGGTGAAAAAAGGCTGAGAGGAGAAGTGGGCTATGATGTCTCCGTCTCTGTGTCATCACAAAGGAAGCAGCATTTCCCAGAAATTGCAGGATGATTTTCACTGTTTCAGCCTGACTGCTCCACACTAGGAGATGAAAAGTGCTCTTTGAGAATTCCCTCAAGTGCCTGTTCAGAAAATTAAAGGCATCAAAGAGGTGTTGTCACAGCTCAGGCTTTCAAGGTCAATTTGAAAATTGTTCTGTTCTGCAAGAAATGTATTCAGTGAAACAGCATTAAACCAGCGCGTCTCTGTAACGCTTAAGCAGCAGGTTTACACATTCAGTGACAATAGGAGTCTTCATTTTGGTGATTGCAATAAGAGCTCAAATGATTAATTAAGAGAGCACCATAATCCTTCCTTTTCTATTTAAAAAATGTTAAGGTGATTTGAAAAACCTTAGCTGGTTTTAGCTTCTTACGTGTTAGGCTTTGCTGCTTTTTGTCATTTTGTAAAAAAAAAAAAAAACGTCTTAGTTTTGAAACTAATTGACAAAAACTTTTCATCATATAGAAGGAGCAGTTCCAACTTGTCTGAATGTCCTGATGTAGACGTGAGCAGCAGTGTTCAGTCTGTTCAGAGACTGTGCAAGCTGAGAATGTTTAAAGTGCCCAACGATATTCTTGATCGGTGAGTTGGATCAGCGCCATCAGACCAATGTCTGATACTTAAATTACATTAATATCGGACCTGATACTGATATTAGATTGGATCAGTCCCATCTCTCTTCTGATGGACTAAATGAAAAACGCAATTCTTAGATTAATCAATAAATCAAAATACATAGCAGCCCAAAGTGAGATCTTAGGACCCTTCCTCTTCCATCCACTTGCACGGCCAACCTGCCATATGTACCAGAATGATACCAGTTTTCTCAGGAGACAAACACTTGAGATAGAGGACCACAATCTGACATTTTTTGTAGGTTAGATAAGAAAAAAAAGGGGGAACCCATGGATATGTAAGATAAGAATCCCTGCATTTTTAAGTTTCATTTCCCAGATTGTCTCATACGCTGGGTTCAGGATGACAGAGGAGTTCAGCACTCGTTGCTTTCCAAGAGGCTCGAAGCTGGCAGCTCTCCAGACGACACGGCCAACAAGTACACTGCATCTTTGTTTCTTCAGTGAAGAAAAGCGACAACGCCACAGCAAGTGACCCCCGCAGGCTTGTTGTGACATCTGGCACTGGAATAGTGCACGGTTATCAGCCCGGGCCACTTCACAGAAACACAACACACCAGAATTAGCCCTCTTCACCTCGGCCTCGAGGTGTCAGTCAACGAGTCAAAGAAGAGGCTCCCAGTGGTTCATGAAGGGCGTGAGGGGTGTGAAATGTATAAACATGCAGCTTGAACATAAATCCAGTGTTTGCAGCAGATAATCAGTTAGCCTCGGTGCTAACCTTCCCACGTGATAACCTACACAAAAGCCTCCCTCATTAGATATATGGCCTTTACCGTGTGAAGTCACACCTTTGCCATTTTCCCCTGAAGCTTGAGAGGTGGCTGTTAATTCACTATAAGGTGGACCGCCTCCGCTATAAACAGCTGTTAAGAGTCCCTCCGATCATTAAAAACTCAGAGAGGAAACCTGCATCAAACATGTGAAGCCACCAACACAAAAGACTGCAGAAAAAATAAAAAAGCTATACGGAGATCAGTCCTCGCTCACAGATCTGCTCATTACTGAACCTACCAATTATGCAAATCAAGTTTTTTTTTCCAATTATAAGAAAATGTTGTCAAAAAAGAAACTCAAGCACTTTTTTTAAAAACAGGGCTGGATGCAGTTAATGATCTGCTCGTTATTATTCGAGGAGTCAGTTAATCATTTGGTAATTTGAAGACGCTTCACTTGTTTGTTCAAAGACTTAATGGAGGCTTTTTTTTTAAAAAGGTGTTTTTCTTTTTTCAAATACCTCCAGACATTCAGTCAATTATCAAAGAAGACAAAGAGGCTGGTTCATTGGATTCTTTTTACCTACTTCTGCTTCCCCTGTCCTCTGATTCTCTGATCTAGAACTGCTCTACCACTTCTTTCAAAACCAGTTGTTTAACTGGTTATTTTATTGTTGGATCATGTGTAAGCTTGTTACGATACCAGAACTTTAAACTACGATAACATACTGGTAAAAAAAAAGAAGAAAAAAAGCAGTGATAGCAATACTGGTTTCAGTACAAGGCAACTTAAAAGAAGTTCCTGGCAGCCAAATTAAAGAAATGTCTTGTTTTTAATTACCGGATATGTCAAGAAAACTGTCTGAACTACACAAAGACTTTAGCAATAGTCGGGTACTCTTAAATCACCAGTGGTTTTCTGCAGTTTAGACATTTCAGTTGAAAAGAAAAAAGACTGAAGATCTGTTGTTTTTTAAAGCTTCCATATGTTTTAATACTACCATTCATTCAAATGATGTAGATTGTATAGTTATGAAACATGTGGTTTGAAAAACTACAGAATAATTGAAAATGTTGACAACCTTTATCCCTGCTCTTAATATGATGAGAAAAATGTGAAAACTACCAATTCCTTACACTAAAAACTTAAACGTTTTCCTGATTTGTCCGTCTAACGGTCCAAAACGCAGAAATATTCAGTTTATTCTCACCAATGTGACCATTAGGCAGCAAATAGTTACAAAGCTGGAGCAAAAACAAACGACGTCATGAAATGAAATATCCACTTATTGCAATTGTTGCAGTGTACTTTTTCTGTCCATTAATTTAGCTCTACTTCAAACACTTCATCTTTTATAAAACAATCCAGTTCTTTAGGCCCTCCACAGAAACTTCAGTAGCAACACAATAGAATATTACAATAGATTCACTCACTATAAGAATAAGAGCCAGAGCACACACCCCTCATACTTACATTGCTACAGGAGTGGTGCACGCACACCTTTTTTTTTTCCTTTTACATCATCTATCATTCATCTGTAGTCAGATGAGCATAATTGGCCTGAAGGAGCCACCTGGCACCCACAGCAGGAGAGAGGGAGCTGTGGGGGGAAGTCGAGAGAGGTGTTGACACCATGCAGCAGAACACTCACTGAACCGCTGCCCCGAGGCACCACTCACTTCAGCTGAACACATAATTCCAACTCACAGAGCAATGTCACTCATTCATCATCGTAATAGAGAATTAATTGGAGCATCCATCCAACGAGGATGTTACCCTAAAGAAAGTACACGCCAATCTCCAAGAGCCCACCAGACTCGTTTGACATTTTAGCAGTCCAAAGCACACAGTAAAGGTTTGTGTGATGAAATTAAGTTTTTAAAATGGTCAAAACTTTGATAGTTTGTTACCACATGTCTTTAAAGATACAAACAACTTCTGTCATTTAATTATGCATAGTATTTAAAAGTACTGAAGCTGTCAAACAATCCAGAACTGCAGTCATATTTGAACCAAAAGTTGTTCAGAGCAGAAGAGCGCACAGTCCAAAAACAATGCAAATACATTGGCAACGTTTCGGTGATGAAATTTTGCCAATTTATTTGCGCAATTTAGACACGGCAATTTCTAATTTCTAAGAACTACCCCAATACTGGGTGTGGAGGACTTCTTTTTTTTTAATTGCCGTGGTATAGGAACAGCAGTACAGAGCAAACCAATCCTAAAAGTCATGATAAACCAAATTCCTCTTTATTGATTCTTCTCTAATTCAATGCCGTGTCAATGTGAGCATATAAGAAGTAGCAGAGTTCCTCCAGCAGGGTCTCCATATCAAAGCATTTCCCCCCCCCAGTCTAATTACCCTATCATGGCCTTGGCAGGTGCTAGCTGCCGGACTGGAACAAAGCCAACCCGTCATATATCATGGCAACTTTCAAAGATGACACTGAACCACTGTAGCTGCAATCGGATCCTCGAGAAGCACGCGAGACCGTTTAGTCGTGATGCTTGTGTCAATTCTCATAGAGACAGGACGCTGCTAAGAACCCCTTGTTTAAAAAAAAAACATTCAGGTTTCCTGCTGCCTTAACCTGCGGGATGTGTTGCAAATTATGACACCAATGTTAACCACAATACGCTCCAGATCAGTTGGACACAATTCAACTATGTTAAACATGTTTTTCTTATTCTGTCAAGCAGTCGCTTCAAGCCAAAAACTTGATAGTTAAAGGACGTCTTCTTCTTTTCCGTCAGGCACGACAGGAACGTGAACCATCTTTTACGTTTTGCACGAGACATCTGATGACTGGGATGTGATGGTGCGCATTTTTCAGCTGTTTTAAAGACCAAACAGTTAATCAACTGAATATTAAGCAGGTCAGTTGATGATGTAAATAGTCTTTTTTTTTTGCCTTGTTTTGCAGCCCCTGGTTTTAAAAAGACATGGGGTACTCTTGTGCTGTGAACTTTTTATCCCAACAGTACTACTGAGGTGATGGTGATGGTGATGTATGCAGAACTGGAAGAGTGGCTCCAACCTTTCATCAGTGGTTGTATGACATGCTCCAGAAGGTATTTGGACACACAAATCTAATAAATTAATATATTTTTTAAACAGGGTTCAGTGTCTTTCTCCTCCCAGTGGAGAGGGAATCATCTAATACTCCAGTCGACTTAATTAAGAAAGAAATCACAACTCACCGGCCATGCAAACTGGAAGGGGATCAATATCTTGCCGGCCTCGTCGATTTTATTCGGGTTATTGTTGGCGCCCTTAAAAGAAAACATATTTCCACCGAGAACGTGCGTAGATCCAGAGCCGAAGGTGCAGGCGCCGTTGGTGTTGACCTCCGTCTGGTACTCCTTCAGGCAGATCTTGAAGTAAGTGTCGCACTCGTCTCGAGTGCAGCGCAGGTCCAGGGAGCTCCTGGAGCCGTCGCAGCACTCTCCGTCCGCCAACTCGCCGTTCACATTCTCCACGGAGATCAGCTGGAGCTCGAAATAGCCGGTCGACTGGGACACCTTAGAAACAACATTTTAAAAAAAGACCAAACTTATATTTAGGCCTCGCTGTATTGACAGGGCTGCAGCGTGGTTCTGGTTCTGGGGGGGGGAAGGGGAGGGGGGGCTGCTGCTGCTGCTGCTGCTCGGATTCATGCGTAAAAATGGACAAGTGGCCCAAACAAGTGCCTGACTCCTGCGTTCAAATCATCATAGAGCTGAAACACACTGGCTGGATGTAGGAACATATTCATGAATGGAGCACGTGAACAGCCTGCAGTTTACAGGCTGGGCTTCTTCTTTTTTTTTTTTTTTTTTTTTTTTTTTTGGAGACAATCAGGTTACTCTCAATTTAACCGCTGCAGCAACCAAATTTGATGCATTGCAACTTCCAACTTCTTGGTTCAGGCCTCATTCTTCCCTCCAAAAAACAAAAAGATGACATTTAAAAAAAACACGTATCCAGCCCTCCAGCAACCCCCCCCCCCCTGCATTGTAACCAAAATGGAGAGTAGCCTGTATCAATCCCACAGACTTCTATCTTGTCATGGTAACATGATCACATGCTCCACAACTGACGGCTACGTAATTCAATTATCGATTAAAAAAGGTGAACGCGAATATGCAAACACCGGAGAGCAAGAAGAAAAAAAAAAACACACAAGCTGCCCACGCCCACCAACTTTTGATATTTTGTAATTTTCCAAACATTTAAATAATTCTGTAGGAGGAAAAAAATTAATTAATTTGGATTGCAACAAGAGCCGTCCTACCTCCGTCCATAACGTCAACAGCAGGCACACTATTGGGAGGCAATTCCTAATCCTGGTGCGATTCCACATGCCTCCGATTAATTAGAGTGACATAGGAGGGGGGGAGAAGCGATAAGAAAAGACAAACAGCCGCGGACCCGGCGACTAGTTCCTCCTCTCCTGACATGCAAACGTAAAATCTTCACATGCGTGTTTTTCTCCACCGTGTACGTCCGGATTTCACCGAGGCATTACATGCGTGTGTGTGTGCGTGTGTGTGTGTCTCTGTGTGTGTAGGAGAGAGAGAGAGAGCAGGCGGCGGATTGCAGCGCAGTGATGGTCCATGTACAGGAGTGTCCCTCCGTCAAATCTCTCCACACAGCAACTGAGATGTTCCTGAGCCACAGCCTGAGGAGAGGATGTCTGCTTTGATTGGCAGCTCCGCAAACCACTTACAAATTGGCCTGCGGGCAGTCTCTGAGCCAACCGGATTAAGGGGCGGACAATAGTATAATAACCCCCACCAGCCCTCCTCCTCCTCCTCCTCCTCCTCCTCCTCCTGCTGCTGCTGCTGCTGGTGCTCCTTTTTCCTCCTCCCAAAAAAAACTTGTATTTTACACACTGAGCTTCATTTGGGCACACCGCAATCTTGTGAATAAAACGCTTCAATCAAACAATATCATAACGAGCTGGGTTATTATCTTACATTTGTTGTGAAGATAACCAAAAAAAAAATGTTTTACTATGACACATCTTTTGTATTCAACCCTTGAGTCCCTAACTTATAACAAATGCTTTAAAAAAAATGTCCACCAGTTCCTCAAATGTCAAAGTGGACTTAACTGCTTGTGACTGACGTGTGATTTGATTATCATAATGCGATTAAAGTTTACATTGAATTAACATTTCTGGTTCTGAGGGGTCTCTTAGTGTGTTTTATTATCAGATTTCAAATCTTAAATGAGTTTACCTTGTGTTTTCATTCTTAATATATTCATTTTAAATCAGGATTAAATTATTTACTTGGGGCTTATTTATGATGCTCCTCTTATGGGATGGATAAATATTAATTCATTTTGACTGCTTGGCTTTAAACATGTTTCAGTTCACATTTCATTTGTGGTATTAACGTCTCCTGAAAGTAGAGCTGCCACCAAAACGAATCACTTTTTTTCAGTAACGAGACTTAACAAGGAGCTCTCCTCATTCCTCACTCCCCACACAATGCAGCAGGTTAGAGCGCCCTCTACTGGCTGCACGTTCATCACTATTCAACCTGATTCTCTGAAACACATGCAGTAAGAGAAAACTAGATGTACAATTTGAGATGTGCTGTAAGTGCTTACATTTTTTTAAGGTACTGAATTATTTTCCAAAATAATATGACTCTGTGGCTTCTCTTCTCAGTCTGCTGTGTTCTTATAAAAGTTAGATGAAGTCAATAAAGCACCATGTTTCTTTAAAAGTAAGTACCTTACTGCCATGTACCTGACCGTCCTCCTTACATACTGTACATACAAACACTGCTCGTACACACATTTTGGTTTTGGATATTTACATCACCTCATACCTGTATCCATTCAAAGAACAATAGATCATTGTTGGAATATTTAGCCAATTTCTAATTAAAGTTGAACCATTTTCTTCTCCGTTCATACTGCAGTGTTTTTGAAATGTCTTTATTCTGCTCCTTTCGAAAAAGAAACTAGTTTCCTTTCACTCACATATGTCTGAAGAGTCGCTGTGCACACAGTTTTTACAGCCCCCGGCTGCAGGTCTGACACTTGTCCCAGTGTCTGATGAACTCTCACATAACAAAGCACTGGTTTCTTACCATATGAAAGAAAGAAGCTGCATAAAAATAAAAAAGACAGCTTTGACCTGCTTCCTTCTGCACTTTAATAAAAAAATATCAGGATTGTGTAAGGTGTATATATGTATTTGTTCATATAAAAACGCTTTTATTATCAATATAAAACTGAACATTTTGCCACATTAAAGAATGTTTTTTATCATCTTTATAACTAGATTATTTTAGTGAATACATTCAGCTGCATCCTGGTCAGATTACAGTTTGTGTTAAAGCAGATAAAGAAAAATATATGATATTTTAGTACATGTCTTATTATTATAATCCTGGTAAATACACCTATCTGTATGCCTCATGTTGTACTAAAGAGAGTCCATTGAACAGAGCTGAGGCTATATATTGGCAATCTGGGAAGGCTGAGCTACAATGCTGAGCAGTTTACCATGCAGGGTTTGATCCCCAGTTCCTCCTGTCCACAAGTACCCAGAGCTGCATGCTGAAATCTCCTCTGATAACCTATGGGATGAATGTCTAGTCTATGGGACACTATGACAGGCATTTCACATTAAAATGGTAAAGTATGGAAGCCCTAAGAGTACATGCAACAGATTTATTCACTAACCTTTTCCTGCGATGACAAGTCATTTCCAGATCTTATTTCATCTGCCCGACTTTTTCTTTTATCTCAATTTTCTCAAGATAACAGCCCTGGTTCTCCATGGTAATGATTTCGTTTGAGTTATTTTCTTACAATCTTGACTTATTTATCTCATTATCTCAAGACAACAACAATGCTGGTTTTCCTGTAGCCGGGCCAGAAGGTGACATGCCATGTTACCTTTGCTCACACTAACGAGGTAAGTTACGCCTATTTCTGTGGTTGCTTTGAGCTCTGCAGCTTTGTGGATACAAGATAAATAAGTCAAGATCTCCAGATAACCAGAAACTACTTGTTGCCACATGAAAACTGAGTAAATACAAAGTATGGATGTATGTCCTCTTTGGGTGTCCATACTAGGAATAGGAATGCATTACATTTCACTTATTCTGTATAAAACTGTGATAAAAATGCCCAGGTTTTATTAAAACTGGACTTTTCTTTCATATCCTTGGGTATGCTTGCCATGTAAAGTGACATGCATCATGCTACCATTAAAGTCCTCCAACCCCAATTCTGACTACAGAGACAAGCCGCCAATCAAAGTCTACGTGACAGCATCCCCCTCACCCCTCCCCCCCCCATGTCTCTGTCTCCTTCTCATCAGGCGACTGCCAGCCCGTCAGATAGGCCTTAAAGGAGGCTGCAGATAGTCTGAGTCGCTGCAGCCACTTTGACTGGAACATTTCACACGCTGTCACAAGTACATGTGAGTGCCTTAAGTTGGATCACACCTAGTGAAGGGCCTCAGGTGGTGAAGGGAAAGTGTCTTTATGTTTGAGAGTGTGCAGGTTGTGTGTGTCTAATGTGCTTCACCAGTTTTGGATTTTTAACTGTTGTAGTGGTGACAGAGTCAGTAGTTTGGGTCACCCAACAGTTGTGTCCACACTGATATATTAAAAAAAAATACCATCTGGGCAGGTCTGAAGTTTTGTACATGTTCATGCTCTCCAGAGGATAAATCCTACAATCTCCGACAACCCCTTGAGTTTTCCCTTGAGTTGACATCAGCAGGTCATATTTGGAAAGAATATGTCTTTATATAAACAGGCAGATTGTCACAAATTACATATAAATTCTCGGTTCCCAAAGAAAGGGTTGACGTCTACTTGTCCAATTGTTGATCCTTTGAATTTTTCGCACCATGAGAATTTGGTTACAGACATTCACTTTCCCCTCAAGATCAACTGCAGCTTCTTCAGTTATCCAATAATATTTTTGATTTATGCTTCATATTTCTTTAAAGAGGTCATATTATGCCCTTTTTGGGGTTCATATATTTAATCTATGTACCTACTAAAGTATGTTCACAATAGCTAAAGTTTGAAAAAAGTGTCTGTTTTCATGAACTGCTGCTCCATGCGCCGGCTCGCTTCTGACTCTCTCTGTAAGGCTCTGAAGTGCCCACGTTCAGAGTCCCCACGTGTGCCAAGTCTAATCTGATTGGTCGGCCTGTCGGCTCTGCCGTTATTGGTCAGTTGCTCAGCACGGTTCTCGGAAATGTCACGCCCCTTTACCATATTGGGAATGCAGCCACTGGCTCCGTCCGAGGGGAGCCTGTGCTACCGCAGGCTGCAGCATATCGTGGGCGTGCTACAGAAGTTAACGGGCATGCAACATGAGCTGCTGGCTTGCCACAACGAGCCAATGGGCTTAGGTCAGTGATATCACACTGACAAGACCTCACACTGGCAAATTTTTATAGAGGTGGGCTAGAACCGAGTGTTACATGCAGCTAATGCTGCAGCTAACAGGAGGACGTAGGAGAAGCCGCGTTTCGCGGACTTTGAATTTTTGCACATGGATGTGCCTAAACATGCACAGGACACTTGGAAAACACACTAAAGAGCATATAAAACCAGAAAAAGCAGAATATGACCCCTTTAAAATAACAGCAAAACTAATGGCATTTCCTCCAGCCTTAGTTATGTTTTGATAGGGCTAATACACTAAAAGGGCTCAACGTTAGCATGCTTACACACTAAACAAAGATGTTTCAAGTGATAATTGCCACCTGCAAACACAACCATGTCAGCTTATGTCCTTGTGTGTTAGCATGCTGACATTAGCATTTAGCACTCAGTAGGCTACCGCCTCATTGAGATGTTAGTATGGTTGCTTTGTCTGGGATGAAAGCTGTGTGATAACCAACATTTTGTGCTTGAACATATTTTTCAAAGATTTGTAATTAAGAAGTGCTTTACAACAAACCCTGAATACATTAGTCTGTATGTCCATGATTATGTTTTAAAGTACCTGAACATTTTAGCAATGAAAGCGAAAAGGCCAATTGTTAACAAAAGATCTAAACCTGATTTCAGTTTAATGATGATAGCTATAAATAATATCCCATAATTTAGAAATACTGCTCTTAGTTTAAAATAGAGGTAAACAATACCTACACTTACTAAAGGGCCTCGGATGGTGTGTGCCTACCTTGTCTTTCTGTTTGCATACACCAACTACATGTGTGTAAGGCACAGAGAGAGAGAGAGAGAGAAAGAGAGAGAGAGAGGAGGTGTGTGTGTGTGTGTGTGCAGGAGCAGAGGGGATTATAAGTGGGAGCGCTGTGGGGGGTTTGCCAGCCTCCAGGGGGGAGGTGAAGTGGATTTCTTCTCTCATCCATTTTTCATGGCTCTTCTCCTTTCAGATCTCCAGTCTCTGTACATACGGCTGACGGGTCGATTCCCTTTTATCTTTAAGCATCTTTTGGGGACTCAGCATGTGTCTGGTGGCATGGGGGGGGGGCGGGGGCTTGACTGTGGCAACATGGGTCAAGGTTGAGACGTGCTGTTTTTCATCAAGCTCTAATGACTATCTCACCACACTGGGTGCTTAGATGGTGCTCATTTTTCTGATGTCTTCAGGGTTTTAATTGTGGTATAGCTTCAACATGCTTCTCTAATGATTAAGAAAACTGAATCC